CTCGCTGCCCCTTCCCCCTGCCTGTTGCCATTTTTCACAGCTTCCCTGCCTGCAGCTGCTGATGCTCCTGTCCACCCCCCTGGCAACTCCGGCACTGTGAGGTTCTCAGCTGCAGTGCAGGACAGCAGCAACCAGCTCAGCCCAACACTAAGGACTGGGGTGATCCCCTGTGGTCCTCCCCTGCCTCCCCTCCCTCTTATCTGATTATCCTCTGGCAGAGGGAGGCAGGAACAGCCCCAGGGGCTCAGGCCAGAAGCCTCTGCTCGGCACAGGGCTTCTGGCTGTGGGTGGGGGGTGGGGCCACTGGGCCTTGCTTCTGCAGCTGCTTGATTCTGCTGGTGGCTTCCCCTGGGTCCTACTGCCTCTTGCTTCTGTCAACTTTGACAGGCAGCCAGGACCAGATAAATATTAATTTTCTAAAAATTTTAGGGGCCCTGCAGGCCAGATAGAATGGCCTGGTGGGCCAGATCCATCCCGTGGGCCATATTTCGCCTGCCTCTGAGCTAATCTGTGCTTTGCTAACATATACAAGGAGAAATATATTGTCTACCCATCTCAAAAACACCAAAATACATTTCTGTGCAAATGCAATATGAAATATCATCTGCATGTCAGTCTGAAGGACATGCATTCAGTCCTGGATACTGTTATCTGAAGCTGAAATGAAACATTAACTTCTGCAACTCAACTTCTTTCTGCATGCCATCAAAAGTGTAGAAGAAATGGAAGTTTTCCATGCCTGCTTAGCTCATTACTTTACCATTACATTTCATTCTAACTATTATGTCCCACAGTGCAATAGTTATATTGGCAAAAAAAAATTGGGACCACTGTATTTGCCTCATGGACAAACAAATTTGAAATTTGTTATCCTTGGACAAGTCTTCCCTCAGCACACTTTCCCAGTCTGGGTTAACATGTAATCTAATAGCGAAGGAAGTAGTGAGATTTCAGATCACTAAAATGTAAATTACTTTTTCCAAACAGACATGTACTGCTGTACAATGAAGGACAATACCTCTTCATTGTCTTTGCTTGCTTATTCACTGACATGTAGAAGTCAATAATTCACTTGAATTAATTTCCTTTACATGTTTATAATATGGAGCTGAAAAGAACAAGGGTCAACAAATATCTGTCAAAATTTGGCATGCCTTGGAGACATCTGAATTGTGTGTCCAGGTAATGCAAATTAATAGCAATACAAGAACCAGTCAGAATGTTGTTTATTGTAGTGATATATTTTGCACTGTACTGATTCTCTCTCTCTCCTGTTTTTATAAATTGTTTTCTTCTTGGTACTGAATGATTTTACAGGCGGTCCTCAGACTTACAATGCAACTGGTTCCTGAAAACCGTGTCTTAAGTCATAACTCAGAACCAATTTTCCCAGAGAAACAGTGTTACAAATGGGAGGTTGGTTCCTTTTTGACAGTCAATACTATGTGAAGCTGATAAGTGGTGGAAGGGGAGATGGAAGGGAAGGGGCATGGGGTGGTGGCAGATCAACACCCGCTGCAGTGAGGGAGGGACTGGGACTGAGGCTGGGGCTGAGGCAAGCACCACCCAGCTGGGGCCGGGTGGGCACAGGGAGGAAGGGGCAACAGCTCCCGCTGCTGCTCACTGCTCATCTGGCAGCTCGACTGGCAGTTCCCACCGCTGCTTCTGAAGCTACCACCACTGCATACCACTTATCTGGAGACAGTGTAGCATCTCCACCTTGTGTCCATCCCGCCCCAGCTGGGCAGCAGCAGGACGGCATGGGAGGGCATGTGCCCCCAGATTAGGGTGGGGTGGGCAGTGGAGTGGGGACTATGGGGGTGGCTGCAGTCACCTGAAAATTCACCATATAGTCCCCACTACCCGCCCAGAACGCAGCCCAGTGCAGCCCGTCCCCACCCATCCCATTTCATGCAGATCCAGGGGCACATGCCCCCCAACCCCCTGGCCAAATGGGTGGTGCCAGATCTAGCTGTGGGCTGGATTTGGCCCATGTGCTCATTCCAGCATGCAGGGCTGGCCTTAATTTAGCTGTGAGAGGGAAGGGGTGGCCCCAATCTACTCACAAAGGTTGGCCATGATCAGGCCACAGAGGGGTGGGGGAAGGGATGTGGAATGAGGGAAAGGGTGGCCTGGCCCCAATCTAGCTGCCACTCCACAGCCACTAAATTTTCCAACCTGTGGAGAGCCCCCAGGCAGATGCCATGGCTCTATGGACAGAACAGGTTAGGGAA